CACCTACTTGAATGAGATGTAGTGAGGATTAAATCAGTTAAAACATGTAAAATCAGGTCTGATATTTAATAAAAACTCAGTAAATAGTAGCTTGTAAGGGTTCTGCAATATATTCAGAAAATAAGACATGTAAAAACAATGTTTTAGGATGCAAAGGAGTTTGTGTGTGTGTGTATGAGTTAGGTGATGAAAATTACACAAATTTAAGACTAAGAATCTTTGGCTGGTAGGAAAGTGTTTACAAAGAAAGGACTAATTTATCTGAGGTCTAAATGATGGAAAAAATTAAAGAATTATTCCAAAGGAAGAAGGAGATGATGTGAAATGTGGAGTAATTGGAGACATGAAGAGAATAAGCAGAACTGATTATTAGGGGAGAGTGAGTCAAGTGTTTGGACAATTCTCTGTAGGCAAAAGACAGTCACTGATATTTTTAAGTAAGTGAGTAATATGAAGAAATTAATTTTAAGGCTGTTAATTTAAATGTAGAATTCAAACTAAAGAGAAGACAGTAGAGAGAGGAGTCAAGATGTCAGTAAGAAATGCACGTATTCACCAACAGGGAACAAAACCCAACTTAAGTGATGGCAGCGATAACAGAAAAATAAATGGGTAAAACAACAATTTCGGTGGATCAAGAGACAAAGCATTGCAATAGGTTTTCCCTTTTACAATTTCATCACAGCAGTCTCTTTTTTTTTCAATAGCATGGTTGAAGATATTTAATGCAAAAATTTGATCATACATAAAAGCAGAGGTATAGTGAAGTCCCATATTTTGATCAACCAGCTTCAATAACCATTGGCATTATCAATACCAATATAGCTTCATCTATCTTCACCCCTCACCACCCTTCCCCTATGGACTAATTTGAGACAAATTCCAGACATCACATTATTTTAATCTCAACAGCAGTCTCATCTTGAAATCAGTTACTAGATGACTCTCCCTATAAAACAAAATCTTAGTTACTTCCTTGATGATTGAATTAGATGAAGCATGTGAATCTAAGTTTTCTTACTACAACTTGCCCCTAAGAATCTCCTGCTGAAAATACTGTCATCATTTTTTTCTGTCTTTATACCTTTTGCCACACCCTAAAGTATCTCCATCTTCCCCCAAGGCCCTGACATTTCCTCCCACCCCTCAAAATTGATATCAAAAGCCAAGTTTAGGTAAGGCCTACAAATAACATTTGCCCTTCTCTGTAAACATTTTAGAGCACTTAGCAAACACCAACATGGACTGTGTATCCGTCTCATCATATCTACAAGACCGGATGTCCAGGAGCAGAAATCAATGGTATCTTGACATCATTATCAGCATCTGTCCTGTTTTGTACATACAAGATATTCAATAAATAGTTGCTGAATGAATGAATGTGATATTGTCATTTATTGGCACAACTTTATTGTTGCAGTGCTCCAAAGATTCTTTGTATCTAAGGAAGAGAGAAATTTGGTGTTGTCTTTCCTAGACTAAGAGAGGTAGGGATCCTTTCTTAGGATCCCTAAGGGATCCCAATGGCTAAGTGATCCCTAGTTCATTGACGAAAAAGAAACAAAGTGGGTAAAACTGGAGGAACACACAGAATATCCAGTCCCTCCCTGGGCTCTTGCATCAGAAGAAAAGTCTGAATCATAGTATATGGGAGACTGATAACGAGGTACCTGCTGTCATGCTCACATGAGCTCTTATTTTGTGATGAGAGTGTCAATTTTAAATACCACCAGTTTAAGATTTGTTGTATTAGGGGACAATTTACATTTAGGGCACTCTAACTTTTTAATTCCATGAATATTTCTGCAGTATCATCTACCCACAACAGAGAAATGAGAGTCTTGTGGAGGTGTTCTAAAGGAATTAAACCCAAGGTGGCACTCTTTGGAATGGATTAAGAAACCACCTGCCAATGCAGGAGATTCTAGAGAGTGGGTTCGATCCCTGGGTCAGGAAGAGTTCCTGGAGTAGGAAATGGCAAGTGTTCAGTATTCTTGCCTCGAAAATTCCATGGACAGAAGAGCCTGGTGGGCTACAGTCCATGGAGTCGCAAAGAGTCGGACACGGCTGAGTGACTGAATACACACACACACAAGAATTCCAAAGTGAGAAAATTAATTATTCTAGTAGAGTGCTTTGCACTTTATACTTAACTTTTTCTTACATCTCAGCGTATGTTAAAGTGAAACTGGAAATAGATATTATTAATATTTCCATTGCTTCAAGAAAGGATACTGATAGCACCTGGGAATCAGTGTGCTCATTGCCCAGGGTCACACAGTTAGTGAATGATGGTATCAATGTATCTCTATATACAGTTATATTGGATAATGGGAAATAAAAAAAACATTTTAGTGGTCAAGGACCACAAAACAAATATTAAAATGTTTGTATACTAACGCATATATATGGAATTTAGAAAGATGGTAACGATAACCCTATATGCAAAACAGAAAAAGAGACACAGATGTATAGAACAGACTTTTGGACTCTGTGGGAGAAGGCGAGGGTGGGATGTTTCAAGAGAACAGCATCAACACATGTATATTATCTATAGTGAAACAGATCACCAGCCCAGGCTAGATGCATGAGACAAGTGCTCGGGCTTGGTGCACTGGGAAGACCCAGAGGGATTGGGTGGAGAGGGAGGTGGGAGGGGGGATCGGGATGGGGAACACATGTAAATCCATGGCTGATTCATGTCAATATATGACAAAACTCACTACAATACTGTAAAGTAATTAGCCTCCAACTAATAAAAATAAATGAAAAAATAAATAAAATAAAACGTTTGACCCTCCTTTGTTCAGATGTTTCTTTTCACATTATTTACTGTAACTTTCTACATCTCAAGTGTCCTCACATGAATACATGAAATTTTTAAATGTACTGTAAAGAATCGTGAGGATAAATTGACACTACACATTTGGGTATGCACACTGCAAGGTGTTGCCCAGAAGAGACACTAGATGAATGCTAGTTTCCTATTATTCCACAACCCTTCTCTTCGTGGGAAATCATTCATGGATGCATACACTATAAACAATGCATATGCACACATACAAACATACTGATGCAAGCGTTGGACTAGTGCTTATACAAGAGAAGAGCTGCTACATACAGCATCGACCTATAAAATTGATAAGTGTTCAGTTAAACCTGGCTGTACCTATTACTAATGCCACTCAGCCGATGCGTCTAGGATTTCACAAGAGGACTCTTGTGATGTGTACAAACAACACCAAGTGACTGAAGCTGGCAGGGTTGGATTGGGTGGTGGGGGGCAGGGGTGGACTCAAACACATCCAGTGCAAATCATCAAAGGGTGATGTTCTCTGTCCTAAAAATCTGTGATTATTTCAAGTTCTCATAGGACCTCAGAGACTGTACAATTTCTTTTCATATTCCTTTGTGTGTTAGTCACTCAGTCCTGTCAGACTCTGCAATCCCAAGGACTGTAGCCTCCCAGCCTCCTTTGTCCATGGAATTCTGTAGGCAAGAATACTGGCATGGGTAGCCATTCCCTTCTCCAGGGGATCTTTCCAACCCGGGGATTGAACCCAGGTCTCCTGCATTGCAGACAGAGTCTTTACCATCTGAGCCAGGAGAGAAGACCTCATATTTCAATCCCTGGTAGTAAAATAACCCTATATGGGCTCACAGAGAAATCAGCATTATATTTCACAGATTCTACTCTAGGACAGAGGGAGAATTAATAAGCCAATCCATTGAACATAAAAATAGGAGAAAGTGTTGTGATTTATGCTGAGTTTTTAGCTAAAGGGAATTGGAACTTAGAGCCAGTGAAAGTAAAGTCGCTCAGTTGTGCCCGACTCTTTGTCACCGCATGGACTGTAGTCTACCAGGCTCCTCTACCCATGGGATTTTCCAGGCAAGCGTACTGGAGTGGGCTGCCATTTCCTCCTCCAGGAGATCTACCCGGCCCAGGGATTGAACCCGAGTCTCCTGCATTGTAGGCAGACGCTTTACCTTCTGAGCCACCAGGAAAGTCGATAATTAAAATTCCTGTTAAAAATATCCCTTAGAGCTACTACATATGCTGGTAAATGAAAAATTCAGTGGGATGGTTGAGATTCAACAAAATCCTGCATCTTTTGAAACAATTTTTACTGGAAAATATACCCCAAATAACCTTTGAAGTATTTGTACTTAGGAAAACTCTGCCTTAATTTTGAGTTTGACTTTTTAAAAGAGATTTTGCTTATTTCCTTCTGTTCTCAGTAAGAACCATAATTTAAACTGAGCCCAATTTCCTTCTTTGTATTAAGAATACACATAATCAAACTTTCAACTTGTCTCAGTTTACTTACTTATCAAAGCAAATCAAATGAGCATGACATTTTAAAATAAAGATTTTTCAATGGGGAGTCACTTTCCACTAAGGTGCTAAAATAAAGCAAAGCACAATTGTTTTTACATTGCTTTTTTCTATCTCATACTACTTTTAAACACTCTCTGCCCCAAATCATGTAGGATTTTTCATTCATTCACAACCTAGTTGCGATCAAGTGTTTCTTTACTTTCGGCAATTTCCAAAAAGCATAGAATTCCCCCTCAAAGAGACATAATTCGCCACTGTTTCAAAGAAGTTCGTTGCAACTTTTCAAAACAAGAATTCCAAGAGAGGAATTCTAAGAATGTTTATGGAGTGGCGGTTATAATTGGAATAAGGAAAACGACGTTCAAAATATCTATCTTGGTTGGGCAATTTAAGGAGCACGGATCCCATTAAAATCGGGTCACGCCGCTTTATAGATATCCTTAATCAATGGAAAGCCTTGCAAGGAACATCCAGTTTTATGGGAGGTGGGAGCATCACTTCCTGGTCTCTAATGAAGAGTTGTGATGCGGAAGCACACAACGCAGGAGCGTCTACGCGGAATCACCGCCTTCTGCGCGGTATATAAGGCAGCAAGATGAAGGAGAAACCTGAGACACTCACTTCTTTCCAACAGACAACCTTCCCTTGAAATCTCACCATGTCTTGCCACAACTACTGCTCCAGAAACTACCCCTTGGTGTCTCTCATGAGTCCCTGTCACATTCCCGCCGCCTCCTCCGTCGGCCTCTACTCCCCGAGTGTCGGCGTCGGAGATGCTCTCTGCTTGCCCAGCAGCTGTCAGGACCGAACCTGGATCCTGAGCAACGGCCAGGAGACCTGCAGTGAACCCGCCAGCTGCCAGCCAGCCAACGGCGGGCCCAGCAGCTGTGAGACTTCCAGCTGCCCTTCCGGTTGCTATGTGCCAAGACCCGGCCAAGGAACCAGCTGTCTTCCTGCTTCTTCTTACCTCTCTGGGTCCTGCCTCTCCGTGTCTTACAGGCCGCTGACCTACGTGGCCAGCAGCTGGCGACCCTCGAGCCTTCTCCCCTGCGGATATCGCCCCTCGGGTTCTTTGTCCTGTGGCCCTCAACCCATCAGCATTGTGTCCAGCGGCCTCAGACCTCTGCGCCCTGTCTTCAGTGGATGCCAGACTCTGCCGTATGTGTTCAGTCCTTACCGTCCATCTTGCTCTACCTGCGGAGGCCTGTAGCTTCTTTATTCCAGCCAATAATGACGCTGAAGATCCCAGACGAAAATTCAAACTCCACCCGCTTCTGCTCCTTTCCTAGTAGTGACTGCTTTTTCTTGATTTTTTCCTGGGCCTGATCCAATGAAAGCTGTTCCTTTCCCATTTTCATCTTTTTTTCATCTCTCCTTAGCATAAAATTATGATTTGCAATGCTCTTCAATGTTGATTGGGTGTGGGAAGGATTTAGTTGGTTTGGATTATAATAAATGAGTTTAAGTCAAAACTAAGAATCTGATTCTTCAGTTTGTCTTTAACACATGCGTGACTAACCTCAACTGCCTGCAAGAGAAGTGGCTAGGACTTGGTACTCTCAACTAAGTGATTTTACCTCATAGTAGTGGACTAGCTTGATGGTTTATTCCGCAAACTACTTTCTAGATCTCTGATATCTCTGATCCTACATCCTTAAGACACCCAAAAAGCCTTTGGTGGGAGTTATTTTGAAAAAAGGCAAAATGGGGAATGATCTATCTTTCTCTTCCAGTGAACATGCCTTGACCAGAACATCCTTTCTAATTGAAAACTGAAGATATTTCACTCGTGCTTAAGCCTTTGATGGCTTCTTATGATCAATTCCTATAAAATAAAAATACAAACTCCTTATCATTACATTTGTTTGTTGCTTATTATTATTGTTTTTTCATTGTCTTTCTCCTTCCACTTATTTGGCTTCGCTTTCTTTTCTTCTCAATACTGCAAATGTTAAGGTCCGATGAGTTTGACATGCACGTAGCTACCCAACATGCTGTGGGGTTTTTTTTGTTTTTCTTTAAGCATCAACCCTTTTTACATATGCTATCAACAAGACCAGGATAAACTTCTAATCTATCCACTTTGAAGACTCATGCACATTTTTAAAAACACAGCTGAGCTTTATTACACTGTTGCTTTATTCAGCTAAACTTTTATTACATACCTACTAAATCCCAAGTCACCTGTGTTAGGTACAAGCGATACAGAGGTGAATAAGACAAACTTGAACTGTCTCAGTATTTACCAGAAGTAATATCCTATGGGACATGCCCGTATTAAAGGTACACTTTTTTTCTTCATTCAACATAAAATGTGTAGGGATATATATTTATACATATAAAAATAAAATAAGGGCCTTCATTGGCGGTCCAGTGGTTAAGACTCTGTGCTTCCAGCACAGGGCGCTGGTTTGACCCCTGATCAGGGAGCGGTCAACTACAAGCCGTCACTTGCCATGTTGTTCTGCAGTCGCTAAGTTGTGTCTGACTCTTTGCGACCCCATGAACATCAGGCTTCCCTGTCCTTCACTGTCTCCAGGAGTTTGCTCAGACTCGTGTCCATTGAGTAGGTGATGCCACTTGCCGTTTATCACTACAAGGATTAACTCCCGTGCTGTTGGAGCTGCTGACCTTCAGCACTCCGGGGGAAGGAGTCCAGGGTGGAGAGCCGAAGTGAGGCACTCTGTTCTTGGAGCGGTGGAGGAGGGAACTGGCAGGACAGGACTTCATATAGCTTGATATTTTCAGGAGCTGATTTTATGAGCCCAGTTCTTATATCTCCCCATGTCTGGAAAAGCACTAAAATCCTTCAAGGTGATGACTGCTCCTCATGACTAACAGAAATCTTCATGAAACTAGTAGAAACCTTCTGGAAATATATGTACTCCATAGTTTGTATTCCCCCTTCACCGAAATTGCATACGTACTGACCTTTGCTGACCTCCCTCTTTGGAGCAGTCTCTCAGAGCTCTCTGAGGTACTCTCTTCCGGGATGCAGTCCTCATTTTGCCCCAAAATAAAACTTAACTCACAACTGTCATGTTGTGTATTTTTTTAAGTTGACAGAACTAAGATCCACATGCCACAGAATTTAGTCATAAATAAATAAAGCACTGCTTTATCAGCAATCAGAAATATACATTTAATAAATAAATGAAACTATAAATACATAAGTTGGTTAAAAACTAAAGTGTAAAGGCATGCATATTCACCTTTTAGAAAAATGGTAATAGCTAGAAGCTTCATCAATGACAAGCAAGAAAACAGTGACCTCGAAGTACTAACTAGTACTAAGTCTAAAGGCTGATCCCTTTAGAGAAGTCGTATGCCTTTGGTTATCAGAACTCATCTCTCCTTTGGACTTTCTGATGTGGAAGCTGAATGGTGGTTCCTCTGATCACTGTGTTCATACTGCTGTTTCCAAATCCATTCTAGTTCTTATGTAGCCTTACTTGCCTGACTCTTCTAGAATTTTGAGTCTGAGACATCTGGACCCTTTATGTTTTGAAGTTGTTCCCAGGCCCTCTCCACCCTAATGAATAAATCACACCTCAACTTAGCCTTCCTTTTATCTCAGACATACTTCTAAAATTGCTGATCTTGTTGGAGTAATTTTTAAAATAATTTTAATGAGATTTTAGTTGAACTTGTAACTGAGCGGGACCCTAGGGGTCTTCCCATGACAGGCCTTCCAGTATATCCTCTGCTTTACTTCCTCTCTGAAATACCTAATGATAGGATGTTATGCACATTTCCTGAGTTGTTTTGGAGATGTAAAATACCTCCCCTCTCCAACAAGTGGAAGATGTTAACTACTTGAGGACCACATAGCCCCAAGCCTCCTAAGGACTGATCATGTTAATCCTGTGACATCACCCAGCTATTTCACCATCAGTTAGAGAGTTGTGCACAGGCTGATCACAGACACTGGGACCCCCTTCCTTCATCTGGCTTTTAAAAAAGCTTTACCAAAACCCTTGGGTGGGGTGAGCTCAAGGCTTTTTTGAGCAGAAGCCACCACTACATTTCCTTACTTGGCTTGTGGTAAATCTTTCTTTGCTCCAAACTCCAACGTTTTAGTAAGTTTGCCCTAACTGTACATAGGGCACGTGAACTTCTGTTACAAAATGTGACATACAAATGAATTTATACACAAATTATTACTCTACAGATGTAGCCTTTGTTCTTATTTCTAACCAATATATTAGTTTTGTCTGTTTTTAAAATTTAAAATGAAATTATATAGTATTGACCCATTTGTCTCGGCTTCTTTTATTAAATACTGTGCTTGTGTGATTCTTCCATGCTGTTAAACATGCCAGTAGACTATTTATTTTCCTCTGTGTATAATATTCAAGGTGCTAAAACATCAAAATGTATTTATGCATTCTGCCGTTGCTGATCAGAAGAGTTGTTTCCAGTTTGGATCTGTTACAAATAATGTATGAAATACTCTTTTATTCTTGCACATATCTTTTGATATACAAATGGAGATATTTCTATTGGGTAATATATTTAGGAGTAAAGCTGACAAATTATATGAAATGTACCTGTTCAGCTTTATTTTATACCATGACAAAGTTATGCCCTGTGGTTATACTAATATTGATTTCTTCTCTCAAAAGCATAAGAATTCCAGTTGCTTTACGTCCTCATCAATATTTGTAATTGTTAGTTCTTTTAAGCGTAGCCATTCTAGTGAGTATGTAGTTATAACAAACATTGGTTTTAGCTTGAATTTCCCTGATGACTTATCAGGTTGAGAAAATTTTTTAAATGTCTCTTGGCCATTTGAATATCTTTTGTGTGCCTGTGTGTGTGTGTGTGTGTGTGTGTGAGTGCGCGTGCATGCACATGTGCATGGCATACGCAAAGTAGACAGTCAGGTCCTTAGCTCATGGTTTTATTTGATATTTCTGCTTTCAGTATGAGAATAGTTCATTATGTAGTATAGATATTGAGTCTTTGTTGAATATATATAATTTTGTTTGTTTGCTTTTAAATATATTTTCCTATATCACTGCACACCTTTTCACTTAATTGTGTCTTTAGACTGAAACGGTTTCCTTACTTAAAGTTAGTTCAATTTATTAATCTTTTGTTTGTGGATAGTTTTTTTTTTTTTTTTTTTTTTTTGTGGGGACGGGGCTTCAAAAAGGTGTGCACATGCTCAATGGTCAGTTCCCTCAGTCCTGTTCAACTCTTTGTGACCCCAAGGATGTCCAGGCTTCTCTGTCCATGGTTCAGTAGTCAAGTATATGCCTACTAAGGAGCACATGTGGGTTTGATCCCAGGGTTGGAAAGATGACCTGAAGAAGGAAATGACAGCCTAATTCAGTATTCTTGCTGGGAAAACCTGTGGAGACTACTGTTCACAGGGTTGAGAAGAGTTGAACACAACTTAATGACTAAACAACAGCAGCAGCTATATGGTAACTTTAGAAAAATGTTTTCTCTTCAACATTTAAATATGCTTTCAGTGTAAAATGATATGTGTGTGTGTGTGTGTGTGTGTGCATCTCCTAAGGGTCAAATTCCATTTGATCCAGCCCCATCTCCCAAAAACTTGCTTCATTTCCTACTACAGTTCAGTGCCCTTGGGGCGTAAATCAAGCATCTATATATGGGTGTGCCAATATCTAAACTCTTTGTTCTGTTCTATTCACCACGTGTCTATTATTCCATCAATGTCATGCTTAATTTTTCATTGCTTTATTTGTATTTCTGGGCTCTTCTCCAGAAGCTCTTTGAAGGTTCATTTTGGTTCATATATATAGCTAGTGGTTTACTCACTAAGTTGTGTATCACTCTTACGACCCCACGGACTACAGAGTGGTGGTCCCCTCTGTATGACCCCCACACCCCACAGAGGACCCACCAGGCTCCTCTGTCCATGGGATTCTCCAGGAAAGAATCCTGGAGTGGGTTGCCATTTTCTTCTCCAGAGGCCTTCCCAACCCAGGGACTGAACCCAGTCTCCTGAATTGTAGGCAGATTCTTTACCAACTGAGCTACAACGGAAGCCCAATATATGACTAAGATCTCCATAAAATTTTGTTGATTTGAGTTTAAGTAAATATGTTTGGGATCAGATTGTAGTGAAATCTCGGGGAAGAAGTATTCAATTTAGGATAGTACTAATAAGAAATTCTACATGATACATGTTTTTCCATTTGGAGTTTTATTCTGAGTGGCTGAAGACAAATATTC